ACCCCACCCCCACCGAGAAACACCAGCCTCTCACTCTGGGACCAGAAGTCTGCTCATCATAAGTAATCACTTTGTTTATCTACTTAACTCTAAGTAGCAGACAGGATTATTTAATAGAATTAATGCATTTTCACCATATCATCGAGAGCCCCACCCTTATACCAGCACATCTGTAGAGTCACCCGTGCTTATCATAACTATGTATTCAATTTTGTTTCAATAATACCCAGGAGTAGAGAAGATTTTCAAAGAAATAATGCACTTTCACTATAGGATCTATATAGCCCCGCCTTAGCATCAGAACCCCTGACCCTGGGACCATGAATTTCACAATTTTGGTAGAGTCACTCTTGCTTATCATAACTATGTATTCAATTTGTTTCAATAATACCCAGGATTAGAGAAGATTTTCAAAGAAATAATGCACTTTCACTATATGATCTATATAGTCCCGCCCTAGCACCAGAACCCCTGACCCTGGGGACATGAATTTCACAATTTTGGTAGAGGGCTCAACACTTATTACAATCATGGCAACAGTTTGACTGCTTGATGTCCAGGAGTAAAGAAGAAGATTATTTAGGTTTGCATTAATTTTGGTGGTTTTAGCCCCACCCCTCAGGCCCCAGGGGGCAGGGACCATGAAATTCACAAATTTTGTTTCCCTTTACAAATAGATGACATATGCTAAAATTGGCTGAAATTGGTTCAGCGGTTTCAGAGAAGAAGCTGAAAATGTTCAAATGTTAACACACGACGGACGACGCACGATGACGGACGAAAACAGAGCAATAGGTCACCTGAGTGACTCAGGTGACCTAAAAATCTCTACTTTGTAACAACTATTTTATAGAATGAAAAATCAGCAGTCTACATTTTCCCCCTCTAAATATTGATATATACATGCAAATTAGATACAAGTAGATACCGAAAAATCTGTAATGAGTACTGAACACTGTACTGTTGCCAAATATCAATAAACAATTATAATGCAGGTTACGTCTCTTCATTACACGTCAACATTCATATAGATTATTTGAGGCACGTGGGAAGCAATTTCAGTTGGGCGGGAGGGGGAGGGGGGGGGTCTTGACAAGCAAAACAAAATAGACTGTTTTCTAATGTATATATAGTATATACTCCCAAAATTATACTGAAAGGGCACAACTGGATTAATATAGCTTTGTTTTGTAAAGTAAATTACATACATGTACTGATAAGTTATGTTCTGGTGCCCCCTCCCGGTTCCCACGGGCTTGTATTTAATTTTTTTTTTACATAATGCTATATAGTATGCAAATGAAATTCCACACTTTTGTATAAAATCCAACACCTTAGCTTTACATTTTGACTCGGTTGTGGCAGCAGTATCTATAAAGCATATTTATACTTTTTAATCTGCCTGTTCTATTACATCAACAAATGGTAAGAGAAATATAAATAATATTACGAAATAATGTTGAATTGCGATTTCTTCCCATATATATGCTTTTGAAGAAAAAAAAAAGTCTTTGAAATTGAAAATGTAAAGAAGGGCGTTGATCATGCATTATTTTGCTACTTCGTAAAATTTTCATTTTGCTAACAAGGTCATTATAACAACAATAAAAGTTACGAAATGCTGACATTAAATGAGGTTGTTGAAATTCCTGTAACATCAACCTATCTGTCAGTAGCCTGCTGCGGTTTAAAAATTGATCGTTCTCGGAGCATGCTCTTGAGTATCGAATAAGTTGGGAGATGTAATCACCATGTGGGGGGATATTACTACATAAATAAAGAATGTTGATGATGGAAAAGTTGAAGTCATCTCCGTTGTCACACAATTTAATTGTTAGTTGGCCCTTTTCGTATAGTCAGTAAAACATCCAAATATGAAACAGATGTGGCAGACTCTGTGGTGTTTTTATCTCAAGTTCACTGGGATATATCGAATCGACATATGAAGGAAATGAACTTAATGTTAATTGTTAATTGATAATATATATTGTCGATATATCTAATTGTCGAGTTGAAGGCCACAGCAAGTGTTTTCTTCCTCTCGTCAAGAAGTTTTTAATAAATTCTGCTTCATAGGAATATAAAAACAGGTCAGCTAATAAAGGAGCACAATTAGTGCCAAGCGCAATTCCAACAGATTGTTGGGGACCTGGTCTCCGAAGACTTCTTAAATGTTGTCAATGAGGAACCCCAGCATCCTTTTAATATCAACTTCAGAATATTGTGTAGAATCAGTGCTTTTTAACAAGGTGATTTTGTTGATGACCAATTACAAGATAGGAAAATGTCCGACTTCTATTTTGATTGAAGAAGCAAAGAAATTACGAGTTCAATTTTTATTGAAGAAACAGTTGTCTATGATGTCAAAAAGCCTTCTCTTTATCTTATCGTAAGGATAATTCATATGTTTTGATGATATGGGTTTTGAAAAAAGTTACGATTTAAGTCAAAAAAGAAAAAAAAGGAAACTCTTTCGATATCTTTGAGAATCCACATTTGATTTTCACCACTTCTTGAGCATGTTGATACACAGTACTTCTTGTTTCTGCTTCAAAGCAGTTAAAGTAATGAGCCTTACAATAAAGAATATATTGTTACAAGCTTTGTCAGCTGGAACAATAACATATTTCTCATGTACTTTTTTCTGATTTCTTATCAGTTTTGGTCTAACGAAAACGGAGGGATGGATAGTTTGCATTTGTCCTTTAATTTTCTAATGCGATTCTTAATATATACGCTTTTTATCCATTCTGACTAAGAGTCGAGGGGTTCCATTTCATATTTGTCCCATCTTCGACAGGATTCATACTGACAACATAAAAACAAATGGTAAGTCATTCAAAGTTTAATAATAAGCGTTGATAATGAATAATTGTAGTCATAATTAAAATCTGACATTATCATGTAATATATTTACAGAAAACGTAAGTATTGATATTACAACAGACGATTTTATGTACACAAAAAAATATATCTCGCTTTTTCCTCATATTACATTTGTAGGAGTGTCAATCAAATCACTACTTTAATGAATTAAATACTAAGGATGTGCTTTTCAAAATATATTCAATGAATAAGGATATAAATGAAATATAAAAATACAAATTATTGTATGAAATATATATATTCTATATAATTAAAGGAAAGCAATGTTAATAATGGGATGTTTCTGTATTTAGACAAATACAAAATTGAATTCTTCAACCATCTCTCATCCTCACCAATATATTCTCAGAAAAATGTTTTTTTTTCTGATATTTATGAGGCTAATTATATAGAGAACTTGTAATCCTTTTCACTGAAATTAGAGGAATTGTTCCCATAACTGCTGGCCAAACTAAGAGATTGAAATTACTCTACAGTCTCCTTTCCAATTTCCCACATCCAGAACGGTCCTTAAATTTTCACATTGTAATTTGCTTTTTTGTTGCCATGAAGCACCATTGCAGCTTTAGATTTAACGAGGAAAATATTTAAAATGTAAAAATGTCACAGAGTAATTTTCTTTGAAGGCGGTATAAAATGAATGATCTTCAGCACGAACCAAGATGGAGGCATCTATCCATGTGCACATTTGATATAAACTCCACTTAAAAAAAAACCCAATTTGATAATATTTTAAAACTCAGTTATCAATATATTTCTTTCATACATAAATGTTTCAAAATCATTTTTTGAATATGAAATTGATGTTGTAAAATCATAGAAAAAAATTGTTTTCCATGATTTACCTCTGAAGTAGTGCCTACATAATTATATTAAATCTAATTAACTAAAGACTATGAAGACTAAAATCAGAAAAAAAGAAATCAATATTCAGGTACTCACCTTCGATAGCAAATGATGACACTAATTACTATGATGGCAAGAACAAAAACAACTGGAGCCACAATAGATACAGCTAAAACGGTAAACTGACTTACAGCATTCGATATCGCCGACTTTGGATACTTTGTTGTCGTAGCACAACCTGAAACAAGTCACACTAGTATCTACATTTAATATGTTTCTGGTACGCAAAAACGTCAGAATAAAAACTTGAAAAATTGTGTAGATGATTTTTTTAAGGACCCTCTATACACTGACGGAAAATGTTTTTTTAGACTTTAAAATTATATAGCTTAAAGGAGGATATTTTAGGAATGACTCTAATACTTGGCCAAATTATTCGAGTATAACCTGGTTTGGGTCAGTTTACGCTTTATAATCCGCGAAGCTGATTATAAAACAGCGTAAACTGACCCAAACCAGGTTATACTCGAATAATTTGGCCAAGAATTAGAGGCATTCCTTATAATCTAATTTTAAAATCATTAAATAACTATGGGTGTAAAATTTCGTTTGTTTTTATTATTTCAAATTTGCCGCTCAATAATACAACCTTAGTAACGGAAGTGATGGGAAGCGAGGGGAGGTAAAAACTGATACATAGGCCTAGCAGCCTTGTTGTTTGTTTACATGTGGTAAGATCGAATTATTGTTTCAAGTTAATGGTACATTTATTAAATCTGGAATTTTCCATGAATCTCGAGGACTGGAAATGAGAGGATTGTATGGATACAGATGATTCAGCTGGTTGTCAGGTAGGTGTGTCCCCATACCAAACCAGGTTATACAGAAATAATTTGTGTTCCTTTTTGGATATTAACCAATCAGAGGCTAGAATAAAAACAAAATTAAATTATTTTGAAATTAACTAACTCATTTTTAATGTAGGGAGCCTACCTTTTTTATCCAGGAAAAATCTTCAAAGACAATGAAGTAATAATCTTGAAAAATTGATTTTTCTTTTTCAAATGGAGAAAATCCAAGCAAATTAAGTTTCCAACTACTCTATCTTGGTCTAATATAATGTGTAGAATACTTCGATTTATTTTGAATTATGTCATAGAATGCAGATTATAATTTATTTTTGTGTGTGTCAAATTATGGGTCTGTCTAATTACACAAAAGTACCCTAAAATTAGGGTGCAGTGTAGAGAGGGTCCTTAAATATGTTTTTATAAAATAAACTTAAAATTCTTACATGTTGAAAAAGAAGTTAAAACTTCAGTAAAATTTGTTTGTCGTGAGAATCCTTTTGAGATATGAGAAGTTGTTTTTATTGTTTCTTTCTTCATTGGTGCCTTTGTTGTTTTCGGTTCGACAACTGTCCTGACTGTTTCTTTATTCATTGATGCATTTGTTGTTGGTTCTATTTCTGCCTTTATTGTTTCTTTCTTCATTGGTGCATTTGTTATTTTCGTCGATTCTATAGTCGGTGCCTTTGTTATTGTCTGATATACTTCTTTCTTAGCTGTTTCTTTCTTTATTTGTGCATGTCTTGAAGTCGTTCCTACAATTGTCTCTGTTGTTTCTTTTTTCGTTTCCTTCATAGTTGTTGTTTTCTTCATAGATGCCTTTGTTGTTGTATGTTCTATTTCTGTTTTTGTTGTCTCTTTCATCGGTTCCTTTGTTGTTTTCGGTTCGACAGTTGTCTTTTTTGTTTCATTATTCATTAATTCCTTGGTCGATGCTGGTTCTCTCTCTGTATTTCTCGTTGTTTTCTCTATTGGTGCCTTTGTTGTTTTTATTTCAACAGTTGTATCTTTTGGTTCCTTATTCATTGGCGCCTTAGTTGTTGTTGGTTCTATTTCTATTTTTGTAGTTTTTTTCTTCATTGGTTCCTTTGTTGTTGTTGGTTTTAAACCAATCTCTGTTGTTTCTTTTTTCACGTCCGTTGGCGCTTTTGTTGTCAATGGTTGTGTTGTTGTTTTTGTTGTTGGTAATTTAATTTCAGTTGTACTTGTTTCGGAAGATGCTGTTGACACAGGTGTTTCGGATGACTTTGTAAGTTCGGTTGTGATTTTTTGGGATTTTGTTGACTCGTTGGCTGTTGTGGATATAAACGATTCCGTCGTCGCAATCGTAGATTCACTAGTTGTAAACTCTGTACTTGTTCGTTTTGGTGTTATACTACAGCCTAGAATACGTTTGTGTACACATTGATTATTGATTTCTTTTTCATCAATTAATGCTTCTTTTGAAAATATACATGTAGTGTCATGAGATAAAACAATAAGCCAATGTACATTTGAAACCAACAGGTTTTGACGGAGTTTTAAAAACTTCTCAGACTTTCTTAATTTGATTTGACTAGAACATTTTTGTTGCCCTCCAAAAAACCAATGAACGAATAACATCACTATTAAGGGGAGTGTACTTCAAAATGAAATTCTTGCGCATGTAATGAAAAAGTGAGTACATTCATCATATAGCTGTATAAACTTTCTAATCTCAATGGAAATGACCAAAAACATTGCCCGTTAGTACTAAACGTGATATGAAAGATTTACATGACACCGTCAGTGCTTAGTAAACAAAGTGGTGCAGGGCGTAATGTGTGCACAGGTAGTTAAATCTATTGAATGCCGAATATGCATATGAGATCAACTATGATCGGCCGAAACCGATTACAACAATTATCAAATTTTCGGGACATAGAAGATTTTAAGAAGTCATAAAAACAAAACAGGTGGAAACAAAAACATCTAGCACTACAACTAAGCTTAATACGTTTTCTCTAAAATCGCGGCGTGCACAGGATTTCGTTCTTACGTCGCGGGTTCGAATCCATTGTGTGACAAGGGGGAAGGGGGGTTTCTCTGGATGAAACCATATAAAAGCGAGGTCCCGAATTGCATGAAAATGCTTGCAAAGAAAAAGATACCTCACTACTCAAAGGCCTTAAATGCCGAGTACAGGTCAAATTTGTAGCCCTCCACCGGTAAGTGGCGGGGTCACAATATGAGTGAAAAGGGACATTAAACAACCAATCAAAGAAACAAACAAACTCACTTCCATTCTCAGTGACCGTGTAGTGTTAAGTGGTGTCGCGAGAATTCCTTCGGTAAAGCAAGTTTTTCTGACTTGCCTAGTTATTAATATAAGGTTAAGCGTTTATTAAAATCAATTAAACCGATCTGTCAGATGACAAGAAGTGCATTTGATTTTTAAAAGTGTGATGTATTTTACAACATGATCAACCTAGCCCAACCCTAACTTTTTAACACAAGAAAAAGGAGGCTAAGATTTCAAAATTTCGTTGAAGGTTAAAAACAATACTCATTGTAATCATTTAATCAGTTTACCTGATACCCGTCAATGGGCAAAGAAAAATGATATTGAAATTGAAGGTTATTTTTCGTTATACTAGTTTGACCAATTTAGCAACACCCAGTAGTCTGAACCAAGTGTCAGAGGGCTATGAGTTTTAACAATTTTGGTAGAGGATTGCGTTTTTTAATCATTTATGCATTTTCAAAATATAACCAACTTCGCCCCACCCTAGGGCCTGAATACTAAAGCCAGGGGACAAGGATTTCAGGATTTTTGCAACGCGAAATGTAATAATAACGCAAAATATAATAAACTGGGATTATCATTTTTGCGTTATTACATTTAGCGTCGTAATAACCGCAGAATGTAATAACGCAAAATGTAATAAGAAACTTTTTTTTTTGGATCATTATACTTTTTGTTATTATATTTTGCGTCGATATTAAGCAAAATGCAACAATGCAAAATGTAAAAACACACTTTTTCGGTCAGTTAGGTTGAGAATAATAATCACACGAATGATTATATATTGCTTCATTATTAGCCGATTCCTGATCTACGAAATAATGCAAGTTCCATTTCAAGGGATAAGATATAATGTGCCGATTGTTATAATAATATAACATAATATAATATAATAATATTATAATATGACAATTTTATTATTATTACTATTATTATTATTATTATTATTATTTTTTTTTTTTTGAAATGCAAAAGGACATGCCCATGTCTTGTGTTTACGTATATTCGATAAACTAGTATTTTGTTCGCCATCAAAATCATTAATTAAATTCCACCTATTTTACATCATCTTTGCGTTCAGTACCACAAGTATGCAAAGGATATACAATTTTTATGATAGGAGTGCGTGTAATGCAAAAATGTAGTAGGAAACAAAAACTTCAAATTCTATGGGACAAAGCTTTATTATATACATGAACAAAGGAAAATTATATAAAGGACCTTAAAGGTGCTTGGACACAGATTTGAAGTTAATATTTTCTCAGATTTTCTGTATAATTTCATGACTTATATGTTGCTATAGCATTTCATACTAAAATATAATAAAAATCTTATTTCATCTCGAAGTTATTGAAACTTCAAATTTCTGGACGCGTTTGATTGACACATCCTTGCACTTTCACAATTTTTAATTTTATTCTTAATACTTAAGAAAAGTGGCAGTTTTGTTGTGTATTAATGAAAAGTATTATAACTATAATCCAGAAAATTCAGAGTTGAAATGTTCGAAAGGAAACCCACGCACAGTATTGTCAGTCCGTGCTCAGTGGTGTGTGCAGACTTTAACAATTGAACACACCCGGTGAATCGTAAACATTAACAATAACAGAGCTCGTGCCCTGTTTACAGAAACAGTTTACGTTTCACGGGTGTATTCAATTTGTTAAACTCTGTACACAACACTGAGCACGGGCTGACGATATTAGTGAGGGGGTTAGCTTTCGCACATTTCTACTCTGAATTTTCTGGATTATAGATGTAATGTTTTTCATTAATACAAAACAAAATCGCTTCTTTTCTTAAATACTAAGGATAAAGATAAAATTTGTGAAAGTACAAGGATGTGTTAATCAAACGCGTCCAGGAATTCGTAGTTCCAATAATTTCCAGATAAAATAAGTTTTTAATTATATTTTCGTGTGAAATGCTATTGCAATATATAAGTCGTGATATTATACAGAAATTTTGAGAAAATATTAACTTCAAATCTGTGTCTAAGCACCTTTAAAAGCATTTCAGACTCCTAACCGACTCCACTTCGGCACAATATCTATTCATATTTTATAATATTAAAGATATGTTGAAATCAAATTTATGATGTTTTGCGTTGAACAGTATCGGAAAAAATATATAATGTTTTGTGTTATTACATTTTATTTTATTACATTTTGCGTTGCCTTCAAGGCAAGAATTAGATAACGCAAAATGTAATAATCAAAAAGTAAATTATTAAATCCTGCGTTAATCTCGACGCAAAAAGGAATAGCGTAAAATGTAATTATCCTAAAAAGTCTGTTATTACATTATGCGATATTACGTTCCGCGTTGATTTTGATGCAAAATGTATAAAAATGTAATAATCCCAGTTTATTACATTTTGCGTTGTTATTACATTTAGCGTTGTAACAGTGCTCATTCAAATCCTTTAATTTGGTTTCCCAGTAGGGTGATCAAGCTTAGTCTAACGCGCTTCATGACGTGTACGTATACAGGCTTGCTTAGAGCGATGTTGTTGTTTTTTTTTAAGACTCAGTATTTTGTTTTCTAATCTGACGTTCTTAGTCAAGTTAACTTTTAAACTAATTGTTCAAAATTACATGATTTATGAAGTATTCAGAAGTTTGGGAACAAGTAGAATCCTTACACCAACCATGTAAACATTAAACGTTAAATCAATTAAAATTTTACAAATAAAAAATATTTTCCTTACAACTACTTCTTTGAAATTTGATTTGGCTAAGTAAAATAAAATGGTTTTTTTATATTTCAAAAATGTTAACCTGGTCTACGTCTCATTGAAAGCCAACTTGCAAAATGATAGTGTATAAATTATTTTTACATCCACAATGGTAGTATAAACAGCCGAAACTTTTGATGGTATTAATTTAAGACCATGGATTTCTTTTTTTAAACAACGTTTTGGTAATGCTTTCTAGTAGAAATAGTTACAGTACATTTTATGAAAACACAGTTAGTATCATTTTGAGATCACAGTGAATCATACAAAGATACATCTCTGTAAAGTAAATCATATTTGGTACCAATTTTGATGCACCAGATGCGCATTTCGACAATTTATGTCTCTTCAGTGATGCTCATGCTGATACGATGGAAATCCAAAACAAAATATTTAAAAAAGATTTTGAAGAGCTAAAAAATGTGCCAAAGACTGGAGCCAAATACGTCGAAGGATCAGAGCTTTGCATGAAAGAGATAATCCTAAATTTTGAAAAAAATTTCTAAATTTTACCACAGGAATTTAATATATATCCGTATTTTCAAGCAAGTACCAAAGTACTTAGCTACTGTGCTGTAGAGACCCTCGGAGACTAACAGTCCACCAGCAGAGGCCTCGACCAAGGGGGTCATAATGTAAATCATATACGGTACCAATTTTGATGCACCAGATGTGCATTTCGACAATTTATGTCTCTTCAGTGATGCTCATGCCGAAACGTTGGAAAACAAAAATATTTTTAACAACCTGAACACTTTTTTATGTACAGTAAATAAACATTTTAATGGGTACATTTGTAAGCTCTCTAGTTATCTATCCAAAGGTTTTTAACCATTGGTCTACGTTCCAGCAGCTAGCAGGGGATATGAAATTTTCAGTTTTAATCCACTTTACCTTTGGATTGTTTTATCGAAAATTTGATGAAATTTGTTCAGCAGTTCTAAAAATATGTAAATGATTTTTTTTTTTTTTTTTTTTTTTTTTTTTTTTAACTTACGACCGTTTCACGGCAAAAGACATTTGACGTACAACAAAGGACAAAACAGATTGGAATAGTTAACCTTAGTGACTCGGTGATCAAAAAGAATGTATATATTAAGAATATTGCTAAGATGGTTGCTAAACAAAACAATGTCTGATTCATTGTTGTAAGAAGAAACCGTGGATAAAGGAAGCTTGATAACACTCTAATGATATTATTTCTTTTCTTTCAGTAGATAATATTCATCGAGGTTGGGTTAAGAAAATATTATTGAAAGACTATTTAAAGTGGCAGATTCGCTACCTTATTAGCAAAGCAAGCAGTACGCTTTGTAGCCAATTTAATCAATTTTTGTTAAACTAAAATGCGAAATCAAATCCAAGCATAAATAATAGAATGCAGCTATGACAATCGATAACAAGTATTTATATACCTGTATTTCTTGTCATGAAAAGGAATATATTGAACATTCGATAACGATTTAGACGAAATCTGACAAATTTGTTCATACATCCTCACAGATAAAACTAGATTACTGTGCACTTAGAACGTCATTTTACAACAATTTTGTGCTTGTGAAAGACTGCGCTGAGTAAACATATATTTTTAAAATCGAGAATGTAAATTCCTTTGTTTAACGCAGCAATTTAGATAAATGTTCATAATGCTCTTAAAAAACGACAAATAACTTCATATTATAAATAAAATAAATGTATAAACTGATGATCCTCGTACCTGATTCTATTGACCAGTCATTTTTATTTAATGCAGGATTACACATATTACATCCTATAAGCGTGTCACGTTCCCCTTGAAGGACACATCTTCCATTTATGAAGCAATAAGTGTCTGCAACTAGAAATTAAATAGACATAAATGGTGTACCATGCATTCAAATGTTTGCTTTTCCCCCTTATTTTGCATACTTTATCAAACAAACCATAGAAAAGACAAGATCAAATAGTAATTGTTTTAGATTTCAATAAGTCAAATCTTGACAGAACCATCTGTCTATATGTTTTATAAGTTCAAATGACTATATTATCGTAATCTCGTCCCTGCCACTTATCCAGTTAAAACACAGTGAAAAAATTTAAAAATATATTTGAATTTAATTCGAAACTTGAATTCATGAAAATAAAGTTAATATCTTATAGTCTTGCATTTCTCTGATAAAGAAATTACTGGTTAATTAAGGGGCTTATATGGTAAATTTACATTTGGTCGCGTTGTTATTTGTTTAAGCATGAATTTCCAAGTCACCAATTTATTTATAATCGTATAAAACTCCAAAACCTGAACAGTTTTTTTTTAAATGTACATCATCATCTATCAGAAATAGTTCTCAAGGCAACATCTGCAATTTAAACACCTTACAATTAAAACACAGAAATAAATCTACGACTTGACGTAGAAACTCACAAAATCTTTACATCAGTATACCTTAATATCAGGAGAAATGGTCATCACATCCCCTTCACATTATTCATGCATAGAAGAAATTTTATTATTAGAAAATTTAAAACTTTTACAAGGCATCAATATTTCAATCGTCTATTAAATTTATATCAGTCTACATTTATTATTCCTGAAAAATTGACTATCCTTGTCTTTGTTCAAAGTAGCAAAATTTGTAGATTAAATCAGACTCCTGCATCAGAGACCATCAGATCTGCAATGTCATGTCAGGAGTTTTTTCTACACAAAAGAACACTCGAAGACAAGTTTCTTAATTGGATGCATCGCTGGAACTGTAATTATTGGACACCTAACAAATCAAATACAAACGTATGGGTGTACAACATAACTTTGTGTTCAAGTAGTTTTTTTGCATAAAGCATTTGCGCAATGATATTTGACATGTAATGATTACTTCACAACATAGAATGTTGAAGGTGAAGATAACAAACAGTGATCAATCGCATAAATCAAGTAAACAAAAACGAATCGTGAACAGGGCAAAAGATGAATACCACTGGTGGGATAAGGTGCATAGAAGGAGTAAGCAACCCCTGTTGTTCGGTCACACCAGCCATGAGCTCTATGTATTGATCAAGTATCTGGGGAACTCCGTAGTCAAATAAAGTATAAAAGCAATGACCTAACAAATCGTATTAAACATGTCATAAAAAATACGACCCAACTATGACTTGTATTTTCAAACAAAGTCATTTAAACGACCGTAGCTTTTGGGAAAAGATGACTTTCAAAGGGATTTTGGTACCTTTGTGAAATCAACTTATTTGTCAGGAGCTTGCCTCGGTTAAAAACTTGATCGTATTCAGAACATGCTCTTGCGTACTAGTATATAATTATAATCAGTTGGGAGACATAAACACCATATGCAGGTGATGTTAAAAATATTACAACATAAATAATGGAAGTTGACAGCGGAAGAGAGTTTGTTATCCTGTTTCTTATTATGATTGTCATACAACTGTTGTTAGCTGGTCCTTAATCTCTATAGTCAGTAAAACATCCAAATATGAAAAAGGTGTGGTGAGCTCTGTAGTGTTTTTTCTATTTTGATTTTACCGGGATATGTCTAGCTGATATATAAATGAATGAAGCTATTAATAATTGATAAAACGTTGTCAATATACTTGTATCTAAAGGTCAAAGTGAAGGCCACAGCAAGTTTCCTTCTTCTCATGTAAAAGTCTTTGAATAAAACTCGCTTCATAGGATATAGAATAAGACCCGCTAATACAGGGGTATGCTTAGTCCCCGTCGGATTTCCAACTGATTATTAGACCTGGTCTCAAAAGACTACTTAGATATTGTCAATGAAGAAATTCCAACAACTTTTTAATATAAACTTTGGACTACTTACGTGTAGAATCATAATGATTTTTTACAAAGTAGTTTTGGAGAAAACCAATCAAAAGATGTAAAAATTTGTCAATCCCATTCTTTTTGAGGAAGCATTTGTCTAAATGTCAAAAATTTTCTCTTTAATTTATCGTGAGAATGCTTTTTAAAGAGTATAGTTGCACAATAGATCTGAAGGTTCTCGTAGTAATTAATATTTTGGTGTGAAGTAAGGAAAGGGGTTTGGTTAAATATTTACTGGACCCTGCAATACTAGTATATCTTTGCTAGTAAAATTTTCATGAAGTTTTGGAATCCAGTATAGGTACGATAACTCGAACTCACTTCCATTCTCTGGAATGTTAAATGTATTTAAAACTGAAAGGTGACTTTGAAGAATTGTATCTTTTAAGAATAGCCTGAATTACCACATGTGGAATTAAAACCGAGTTCATCTGAAATGTAATTGAAATATTTAGTCTAACAAAGACTATATTGTTACAAGCCTTGTCAGCAGGAACCAAAATATATTTTCCTTGTCATTCTTTTATCATTTCCTGTCCATTGAAAACGGAAGGAGAAATACTTTGCATTGTGATCTGTAATTTCTAATGCAATTCTGTCGCCAGTTGAAAGATCTGAGCTCCCTGAATTTAGGACCTTTGGATTTAAATGATAGCTTTCAGGTAGACATTATGAACTGTACCTAAATAACCAGAAATGATGTGTTGAGCTGGATTTTATTTGACAGAAGAGGAAACACAAAAACATTTAAGAGGATTTTGTCTTAGATGCTCAATATCTACTCACTGTAGAGTTTTATTATAAATGAAAAATTAAGATGCAACAGTTGGGGAATACATGTATCTGTAGGAAATACAAATTGTAGACTTCAACCTAAAATATGGTGAAATATAAGACTGATTTTTATATGATTTAGAATGTTGCTACATGTAATATTTGTAATATTAACAACGTCTATACCTTTCTTCTTTTCTTCCTTATCAATTTTCATACCTGAATCAAATGACCAGTCATTTATTTTTAATGCGGGGTTACAAACTTTACATTCTTGTTCAGCAGCATGTTCGTCTTTACGGACACAACTTCCATTGATAACGCAAAATTCATCTGCAAAGAGATGAAAGAATACATGAAGCACTGTATATTGACAAATGATCTTTGAGATATTTGAACCACCACATTTTTTTTACTTTGTCAAGTCATTATAAATGGAGATATTTTACTTACTCAAATGCCAATATCTATCAATTAATTTCTCTCATATGAGGAAAAATAATCAAAAATGTAACAAAAATGTAGACATGGGTATACAATTGTTATTTCATGTTATATAATCATAATTTAATAATATAAAAAAGATTGTGTAATTGTTTTCTAATTGTTGCTGCTAGAATAAAGGTAATTAATTTTATTCTTCAAGAAGTAACCTTTCCAACTTAGATGCAGACTTTTCAAATGTGGTTGAATGTTATCCCTATCTGGAGAAAACATTTGAAAAATTATGATAACGCTTTGGAAGTGTCTTGTTGGGGAAAACGATATTATTAAAAGTCTATAATTTCATGAAAAATCTCGTTATAACCACGACATGTGCCTTATATTAGTCAATTTTACTAGTAATTGCTAAAAAAAATAAGAATGCATAAGAAAAAATAACGAAATCATTGGTGTAAAGGTTGAATGAAAAATACAAATTGGGGAGTTAAGAATAAAGTTTTCTAGAAGTACAATAAAAAAAATATATTATCAATTGCATTGTGTTCAATGCTTAAAATAGTATGTGTTAAAAAGACGATTTAGACGATCAATAATTCATTTTGATGATAACGTACATAAATCGAAGGACCAATCTCTTTTGTTTAAGAGAGGATTACAGAGATTGCATTCTTTTTTCGAATCACGGTTACCCTCGCGTACACAATGTCCATTTATTAGACAATAACCATCTGAAAAAAAACATAAAAATCAACAAAATTTAAAGAACTTTATAAAATGTAAAGAATTTCTGACAATTAAATTAAATTTATAATAGACCGTTACCTGTTCGAAAATTATGTTTTTCTGGAAAAAAACATGAAGGTTTGCGAAGAGAAATGGGCGTGGGTTATTCTTGTCCACTTTTCTAAAGAGAACAGACCTTTGAAATATCCTTGTTTCATATGCTTTTAAGAAAGAAACCCATGCTTCATATCACTCACATGGGAAACCTTAGCCCGGCTATTTTTCAGACGATCTGACAAAAGTTTGACCCATCTTTATTTCTTTGAAAAATTGATCCAAATTCCGACCCAACTCCAACTCTACGGGATCATTGAATCCATTCATCTTCGGGAAGCTTCAACATAGACATGAATAAGTAATCATAGTTTTCTTAAGAAGAATATTTTCTTGTATTCATCCATTATGTAAAATTTGATTCCTCGATTTTCAACCAAACCTAAACCCAAGGTCCATAAAAAATTAAATCAAATTTTGTTTGCAATCTTATGATTCTATTGCATGTCTTGAAATATGTCTTTCCCATAATGAACATGCTTTTTCCAATAAAAAGGGAACTTATTCCATATTAGGGCTTAATCAAAACCAAAGGCCCCTGGAAGTTGTTTAAATAACCCTACTCGAGATAATAAGGCTTCATTGTCACTTGTAGTAACTATTTTCAACAATACGCTTTACATCTCAAGGAAAATAAAACTATAGTTGTAATATTTTCTACAACTTCAGTTTTTATATATATTTTAATTTAGTTCTGGCTGTAACACGTCATTTGATTACATAGAACTATTCGTTATATTTTATACTTACGTATAAAGTTTTTTGAACCATTTGAAGGTCTTTTTGGTTTTAAAAACGTCTTATTTTATTACATTTAATGATAGAAAATAAAATTATAAGAAATGAATTTAATAGCTATCCAAGTCATACTTGTATTACCTTGGTTGGAACATTTAAGGTTTTTTTTATAAACGGTGTCGCAATGTATAAAGCGTAAACTGCCAAAACCTTAGGTTATGCTGCATAACTTTGGTTGCTATTTAAGGCCAAGCATTGAACACATGTTAATTTAAAAATGTTAATATGCTTTTCCAAAAATTACCTTCAGTAAATGTCCATCCATGTCTATTTTTAATGATGTTGCAAATTTCACATTCTTTGTTTTCTCTATTTTCGCCATCAAAGTTACAGGTGTTATTGATGAAGCAAAAGTCTGGTTTAAATAAAAATTCTTGAATTTTAGTTTATTTACATAAAGACAACAAATATAAATGTAAACATAAGCAGTTTTACTAAAACAGCTGAACTATACTGTACTTCCTTTGCAAGGTAATTTTAATATAGGTGAATATTATATTTCTTGAATTTTTTTCTGTTATATTAACAAAAGCTTAATTTCAATGATTGTATTACAATTGATTTACAATGCTTTCCTATAAATACATGTCATCCAATCCTAAATATAAAAATAAAAACAAAAGAATTGTTTTGAAATATATCAATTAAAATTCGGATGTAATTATACCATATTCAATATTATTTCAGATGAGACCTTGAAACCAAGCTCCCGTGTAACAATACGCATTGGCACGATAAGGAACCCTCACATCACATGAAATTAAACAACAACAAGAGCAACAACAAAAAGGGAAAAAAGAAAGAAAGAAAGAAAGAAATAGAGACTCAGAAAATTCTTTAACATTTTATATGGTTTTCTAAATACTCAGGGTAGACTTAAAACATTAATTTCATGTTTAAAAATCATTAGTCATTAAACAAAGACATTTTTCAGCATCTAAAGGAAAAAAAAATAGAAAATATCGATGACTGCGGACAGTATTAGCGCTATTCGAATTTATTAAAATATTTTTTTTTTCAATTATTACCGATTACGTCTTATTTCTTGAAAATAACAGTTGATTAAAATTACAATGAACGCTTACTGCATGTATGGTAAAGAATTCAATATTTGCATATATATGTTTAAAATAATGTAGGGGACAACCCTGACGTTTACAAAAAAATGAAAAGTGTTTTACCTGAGCTAATTGACCAGGATGTTAAGCTTTTTGACGTATTACAAACTTCGCACAGATTTGCTAAATTCACTTCTCCGTCTGCAATGCATCTCCCTTTTATATAACAATGTCCTAGAAATGTAATAAATCTTTAGACAATTCACTGCTGATATAATGGACTAACAATTAATAAGAAAGATGCAAGTATTTTTTTTTTTAGAAAAGAAAAAGAAAATATTTTTTACACCGAAAGAACTTTTGTCGATGTTACTAAAATATCCAGTTTTACTTTTATCATTAAAAAATCTGTACTCAATAATAATCTTATAATGAATAAGTTTTATATATGACGTCAACCTTCTTTTTTTTATTTATTTTAATTGTTTTACACCTCAGACTTTGAAGGGGGTCTTAAATTTTCCGGTAAATGTATGAAATTCCTATCAATATCACTTTTTGTGTCGCCTACAGAGCAGAGCGGCACTTAAGGATCACTTTACCCGGCGTCTGTCTGTCTGTCTGTCCGTCTAGCTGTCTGTCCGTCTCTCACACCTTGTGTCTCAAGAACATTTCATTTGTGCATTGCCATGGTTACCGATCTCATGGCCCTTGACCTTAAACTTTGACCTACTTTACAAAAAAGTTAAAAGTGCCAATGTACAGCATATTTTTGACATTTAAGGGTTAAGTCTATGCTATTTAGCATGTACACTGATTGTCATAAAACATTCTGAAAAAATACCAGCGTTACAATTCACTTGACCTTGACCTTTGACATACTTTTCATAAAAATACCCCAGACAGTTTAATTTAACTTAAGGCTTTTGAATTTTTGAGAGACGGGTTGTTGATAATTAGCATTAACACATGTTTATGAGCTCATAATACTGTACTTTGAAACTGTATGATATTCAGTTACCACAAAAAATGAAATTTAAATATTATGTTAATACATTTGGATCGGTATCCCACAGCAGATCTTGTAGAGAGACAATTGGTGTAAAGACTTTGAAACAGGTATTAAAACATGTAAAATGTTTAATTGTTATTTATAATTATTTCAACTTAATTATTCATTTGAGGGTTGGGAATAATATTTTCTTTGATTGTCAGACTCTATCGCAGTCTTATACTATGCGTGGATGCTTTTTTTATGCATTTATGAACTATCATGCTAGTAGTAATTAAATAGCTAACTACACTTAGATTTATTTACCTCTTTAAAGAAGCGACAAAGCAGGCGACACATGCGTTCCTTGGAACACTCTAGTTACATACAATTCGTAATATTACCATTAAATAATATACAATTATGGACTCTTCAGTTTTCACTGTGGTTTGATGTTTATCAGCAAATGTATTTACAAATATATTTAGGATTTGCATGTAATTGCTTATTTCATTTATTTACTGTAACATATCGTTAAAGAAGATTTATCTGTTAACATCATATCAGCGTACCCTCATTAAATGTCCAGCTGTATTTATCCTTGGCAACATTGCAAATGTCACATTCATTTTTAGGATTACTTTTACCATTGGCAATGCAACGGCCATCAACAAAACAGTAGCCGTCCTATAATGCAATATAAATTAATAATACATTGTTAAAATGAATTAAAATGCCAATTTAATCATAGTTATCAAATTCTTCATTGTAGTTATCTGCAACAATTACATCAGATTACTTGTAAACTACTCAGTTTCTGTTTTAACCTTAAAAGTGAATGATATTTTCCCACTATCATTATGGAATTCCTGACACAAAGATTGGTATGTGTACACGTTGTAGTTCTCTGTGAAGTGTCTGCCATCATTTGAGACGTTAAACGTAAAAAATGTCACCCAAGTTGGTGTGGTGGCATATTCCAATGGACAATATCCTTCAAACAGGGTTCTCTCCTCTAAATTTTTTTCAAAGTAATCAAGCATCACAGAGGAACCATTTTCTGTGATCTGAAAAATATATGGAGTAATACAGTATAATTAAACATTTCGAAAATTAATAGATCCATGATTCACGATATCGATGTTCATTTAAGACATCTTTGTCCTTCAAGTCTTGCAAAAGTAAAAGAGGTCACCTATTACTCCTTTTTTTTTTAGAATTTAATGCTATTTTATTGTGAAAAGGTGAACTGTGATCGACCTCAAAAAATCTACAAACAATACAAATTTGTAAACAGGGCATAAAACATGGATTTCCGGAAATTCCAGAGGTGGGATCAGGTGCCTAGGAGGAATAAGAATCCTCTGTTTGATCGATAACACCTTCCGTAAGACCTCTGTATTGATCAGGTAGACGTAAAATTCCGAAATCAAATAAAATATGACAAAAAGGGGCCTTATAATCGATACAAAACACGTCAGCCAAAATACGAGCCAGTGATAGGTTATTTTTGTTAACAATGTCTTTATAACGACCGTAGAATTTACGAAATGCTGATTTCAAAAGGAGTCATTGAAATTCTTGAATCATCAACCTATCTTCCAGTAGCCTTCTTCTTTTTTAAAAAAGCTATCGTAATCAGAGCATGCTCTTGAGTATCGAATAAGTTGGGAGAAGTCAACGCCATGTGCAGGGGAATTAATATTGCTATTTAAATATGGAAAGTTGGTGATGGAAAAGTCATCTTGTTTGTCATACAGTTTCGTGTTAGTTGACCCTTATTGTTTATAGTCAGAAAAACATTCCAACATAATAATTCGACTCCCTAATTTGTCCTATCTGAGCCCAAGTTACCATGATTTAACTATTTAAATTGACGGTTTTTTTTTTTTCATTTCAATAACGACTAACTATTAATCTATTAATGTATGAGTCCAAACAAAAGAATTCAAAAATTTCCCCCTTATTTTTAAATGTGAAAATTGGCCAATCCTAACTCAAGAGATTATGATATTAGCACACTTTAAGTACTGGGACATGTTGCCAGATTGATAATATAAGATTTTTTAAAGAGATTGTTTCCCGTTATAAAACTTTAATTCGTTTTAGGGCCCCAACCTAGCCACAGACATCATTATCTATACAAAGACTGATTTTGTAACATAAATCAGCATCAGCAAAATTAGCATCAGCATCCAGATAGCATAAGGATCAGCATTAAAAAAACGGAATTCCAAGGATCAGCATCAGCAAGCAAAAGATAGAACTAGAATATCTACAATTGACCTTACTTAAAATCAGCATTGACCGACTAGCATAAGAAAATTAATGAGATTTTTTCAAAAAGAAATTGAAAACAGAAAAAGTAATCTGGTTTAATATTTCAAAATATCAATATAATGATAAATGATTATATAAGCATATTAATTTCTTTAAACTGCTATGCTGAAATTCAGTTATCTACTTCTACGTTCGATCTTTTGATTCCTTGGCTTCTCAGAGTAAAGAATTACACCAAAGTAAAATTAATTAACTGAAATCTTTTTCTTTTATCCGTTTCAATAAAAGTAAATGTGTCAATATTTTCTGCCCATCATTTGGATCTTAAATTCACAATGGTTATCAACACTGGTAAAAGGTTTTAAACCTAGATCGATTACAATTTTATATTTATGCATGTCTAAAACTAGTTTATACTCGTTTATGCATATAATACATAACTGTGAAATTTTCATCAGTTGTGACCGGTCGGCAATGGATGCTCACTCCTCCATGGCACCTGATCCCACATTTGATATTTTAGAGATCCGTATTTGCTCTACGCCTGATCTGTATTGTTTGAATGGACTTTTGAGCTTGAATACTCTTTGTTATCTAACTACATTTCATTTTAATACATCTTAGGTTTCTGTATTACAGTGTTTATATGTATTTAATTCAATGCTATCCAGATTATCATTTCTTAAAGACAACATTATAAAGTAGCATTCATTGTAATTGTGATTTTACCCTTCTTCTAGTTGTGTAACAACGTGTATTCATATTCTCCAAGAAATATCTGCCATAGAGAGTTATTTCATCACAATCTTCCTCTGATTTATCACAGAAGCCAAAGTTTGAGATCAGAGTTATTGTAGGAGGACCGAGTAAATCAAAGGAACAGTCACTTCCGGCATATCTAGGGTTACATGTGCAGTTTCCTGAAAGGAAAATAATCATAGGAATATCAAACATTAGTAAATTTTCGCATTTTAATCTACTTGAGTACTTTTTAGCAGCTCAACATACTAACAAAGATTTTTTATGACATGTCTAATGAAGCTTACGCCTCAAAAAATGACTCTGATAAAGTCCATGTCTCAATTCTTTCTGTTACCTTTAGAAAATGTCTGTTTCAAAGAATGTTTGAGAAAAGGTAACCTTTAAAGATGTCTTGGTAAACCCACCCCCTTGTACTTCTCCCTATCCAATATTTAAGCTTTTGCTAAGACACTTTGAAATGATCGGATTTTTTTTTTCAATGAAATTTGCTCATCATAAACTATTATTCCTTAATTCCTAATTGTAAATATAGCTTTTCTATGCCATGCTTTCAATTTAATTTTAAACCTTATTCTTTTAAAAGTATACTTACTCCCATTTTCATTTATTGGAAATAATAATATAACTTATTATAACAACACTGATAAAGCACATTTTTGTCAGGAAATTTAATTTTGGTTTTCACCCCTCATAGTATTTTCAGGAAGTTAGACCCGGTGACTGACTGCAGAATGAACTTTCGATCAAGAATACTTTATGCAGAGTACTGATATTGAAATTTGTTTGAACAATATACGGAAGCTCCAACAAATATGGGTTATACTTGTGCAATAACTCATGATATTTACATTTGCAAATATTTTTCATAGATGAATTTATTGAAGAGAAAATAAATTCAATTCTGTATGAACTTATTACGGGGTCAGAGGTCATATCGTGACAGAATCACACGATGAGATGTTATCTTGCCTACACATTTCTGTCACCTTTCTGTCACAGAGAAACTGGTTTCAAAACTTCTAACTTGAAAGCATTGACAAAGATAAAATAATTGAAACATATGGACGTTTTTCAATCAACAGATCTTCATTATATCTTCCTTCGATGTGAAGAATGTTTTGAATTACATAATTGCCTAAAATCGCACTTACCTTTTTAACCCGAAATTCCTTTGAAGGTATGTAAACTAAAACAGACGATACCACCGCTTTTGACTTCACATATATAAAGAACTTATAAATTTTAAAATAGTAAGATTATTCTCAGTAGCACTTACTGTTCTTAATTATAAATAGAGATTTCCTGCATTGGACTGCTGAACATCAATGTAAATTTTCAAATGTTGGAGCTAGGGGAACTTTCAAGACCAAACAACTTCTAGGTCAATGCGCGTCACAACATAGCAATACGGCGGACCGTTCGTGTAATATATGTAGTTCTACTCAGAATATATTCGTCTCAAATGTACATATAAGTACATATAACAGCAATGTTAAAAAGTTCACTGGGAAAGAAATTTGGTTGGTCACGTGATCAACCAAGTTCCTTTCGGGCTTCTCAGTAGATTTGATCACGTGATCAACCAAGTTCCTTTCCCAGTGAACTTTTTGATTGTTATTTATTTCTTAATTGTTGTAGTAGGAATACCAATATATGCTAGGAGCTCTTATATTACATTTTGGTTACCTTTATTACAGACACCATTTCCACTGCAGTTTGAAGGGCATAATGATTGTATTTGGTGTGTTATATCTTTCTCGACTTCTTGAAAGGTAGAATTAAGTACGATAAACGTTGAACATTGTTCTAGGGCCACCTCTACGTGAATTGCCGTGAAGCTTGCATCTCCTGTAAACTGAATATGACAAATTCTGAGTACAGAGAGTAATTACTGTAGCCAAAGTAATGGAAAGTATGCACATCCTAGTCATGAAAGATTTATTTACTCTAACAAAAACATTACAAAAGCAAAATAACTGGAGAATTGTTTTGTCTGTCATGAACACTCACTCTGAGATCTGAAATACAGCTAGACAGTGAAGAGTTGCCCAAACTTGAGACATACTTTTTGCAGTTCCTAAACGGTACAGATTTCTCAAACGCCGTCAGACAAACATTTTTTGCTTCCATAAAAGACATCACTGTCTGTCTTTTCCTCCTCTATAATACAAAAGAAAATTCTTACTTCTACATTTCAGCCTTACCTTATTAGGGACTGATACATAAAGTCAAATCAAATTCGATTCCCAATCCTGACACTCATGCGTATGTATATGTTTAAATACATTCCAGAAATCATTCAAGGCATCATGTTCAAGGTTTTAAAATGCAAATCTGTTTATTTTTCATGTCGTTATTTCCATGAAAGAAAAAAAAAACACGATCACGGTAGCATAGTGCTAGGGCGCTCGCTTTGTGGCGAGACCCTCGTTCAATAGATCGCCGCACTGCATTAAACCTGCGGTGTAAACATAGGTGGTTATTGTTCCTTCGTCAAGAGCTCGGATTTAAAAGTGAAAATCACAGGCCTTTCAGGTATGACCTTAAAAACAAAGGTGTTATGGAAGGCGCTGGCATGAGAAATAATCCTCACTGCTCAATGACCGTACGTGCCCAGAATAGGTCTTTTGGGGACGTTAAAAACATACAATCAATCAATCCCTGAGAAAAATGGATAATTTTATAATTTTCAATGTTTTGTAGTTAGATTTTGAATTTATTTTACGAGTAGGAAAGGGTTAATTTATTCATATTTTCCCGAGTGTGTAGCACAAGTAAAAATAACAAAGAAATCATATCTCACGATTGACATAAATTTCATATTCAACCACATAGTATTGAATTTCCTGTTTATAAAATTTAAATTGATTTTACTTCTGTTCTTTTGTAAGACAATGTCTATGATGTCATAAAAGTGGTTGCGATTTTGAAATAAAATATTGTTATCATAAATACAAACAAAACATTTCGGAAACTTATCATGTTAGTTTCTAACAGGACGATTTATTTACAGATATTCTCACGTTTTTATGACAGACTAGGAAGTATAATTAAAACACTCTAGATTTTTGCCATTCCTCTGATAATTTTTCACACTTTATAAAAAAATATTATTGATATTTTTCACACTGGGTGAAAAAATCACTTTTATAAAATACAAAGATATAGAATAATCATCATGCTCAAAGTCCAATGAAACATGTAATAAATGTACCCTTGCATTCAATGGTCCAAAATTAAAAGTTTCTTCCGCAATAGCTTTTGAATATAGATAAGTTAGGTCCCGTTTCCGCCGTCGTGATCCCTCTTGATTCAAGACACAGAAAAATTGTTTTCCTGTGTTAAATTTACAATCTTTGTGTGTTCCATAATTGCAGGATATTTTCCATTCACCAGTAGCATTTGTACAGTTACAAACTCGCGTCAGAGTATGTGAAATAGACTTCAGTCCTTTGTACATGGCGTTGCTTTCAATTAATAAATTTTCATTGTCGTTCACCCTGTAACAAGAAATGGTATCTTTTTTTTTAAAACAAAAGCCATTATACTGCAATAAATCTACACCTAACCTGCACTGCACATACAATGATATGAAAAATATCGGACTTCACTTAAACTTCTTCAGAATTAATATGTTTAGAGACCAAGACCGTTTTCTTTGTCTTTATAAATTATGTAAATTTTGCGAATTCATTTTACAAATATGTAACAAATTAAGTTTTACAGCCAAGATCTGGAAAAACTATCACTGTCATAGTATGTGGTAACGTTGTCTGGCCCAAGAAAATCATTATCAGAGCTTCCATCTAATATTCCACACAGGCCGCGACTGTTCTTCACATCCGATGCTGACGCTGTGATTATTACGTCTAGAATCAAAACTCTATTCCAAGTTCTAATTGAAATTTCAACGATGGTTCCTGTTGGCAGTACGACCTTCATATGTGTTAAAAAAATAAATATCAGCATCTAACTGTAGTAAGGTTGAAAAGTAAAAAAAATAGTTTTAAAAAATTTGGATGCATCACAAAATCTCATCAGCATGTTTCATCTCTTGCTTAATATAATATAAATGAATAAATAATATATAATGATAAATATACAATGGATACACAATGAATACAATGAATTCAAAATGACAAGTCAAAAAAAAAAAATCATGAAAATAAACACAGGATGAAATTACACCACTCAGTCGACGGAATGATGACCAAATGCCCACTGACTGGTCATTGAAAGGTCACTGAAATGATGCTTTCCCGTGACTTTCCATGAACTTTCAGTCGATTGGATGGCAGATACATTTCAGCGGCCTTTCAGTTATCTTTTAGTTGTATTTTTTTTTTTATTATATAATCGGCTTATTTTTTTAACTAAGAGATTTTATTTTCACGTTTTTCTCTAATAATGGTATTAAATAAACTATATATAGATATTTCTATGAAAAATAACCGCATTATACACTGTGTTAGATGGACATAAGAATAGTGAAAAATTATATGTAAGATCTAGAAAAAAAATAAGAAAAATTTTTCCTTGTTTATATTAAGAGCATTTTGACCGATATCCTCGAGTTTTTTTTTTTTTTTTTTTTTCAAGTTAACTGATTGTTTATTCACAACTTATTAAATTGAATAAGCTTGTGAAAATATTTATCACTGATTTAGAGATTTTACAGTAAGAAAATATTAGACAATTCCATATCAGTGAATTAAATTCAGATACGAATAATGGATCATTATTTTTTATCATTTGAATAATTTTCTTTTTCTAAATCAATTTTCATGCTACAAAGTAGAGATTTGAAAATCATTCTGAATTTTGAGTTCACAGATAAACTGTTATCTTTAGTATCAATAAAATTATATTTAGACATAAATGTTATAGTCTTATAAATCACAGTTTAACATTTTAACATTATAGTAAACAATTTTAAGACAATTGAACATCTCGTCATTACAGTTCTACGTACCTGAATATTCCCATCTCAATTAGGAAACAGAAACACATATAAAGATGAGAACAATTTTATTAAATTATTATGGAATAAGTATTGAAAAATTAACAAAAAGTCGTTAAATTACGACTGAAAGGCGACTGAAGAACGACGGAAAGGGAACGGAAAGGTCACTGAAATGTACTTGCTATTCAGTGACTGAATAACCACTTAAAAGTCACTGATAACCGCTTTTTAGCTTTAACTGAAAGGTCTTGTTTCTTCCTATGAAACTTGTTATATTAGTTGATGAAAGCATTCAAAATGGGAAAGTTGCAGTCAGTAGTTACATTTTTAAAAAAATTTTCTCATAAAATAATTATAGCTAAAATGTCAGGTCATAAGTTATCCATGTGTGACACTTTCTTGGAATGTGTTTATATGTCTTTATTGTATGCTGATACGTTTTCACAATATTATGTTACTCTTTAATGTTATGATTATTTATGACGATGGAATTTGTGACATCTTGGTAAAATATTTAAGACAGAAATTTGTGAAAAATATTTAGCATGCATTGGCAAAACTGGTTGCAACATGTTTATACACATTTTGAAAAGAAAAAAAAAATAAATTCAGATATTTTTGTAAGCTGTCTGCCCAAGATTTGATGCCTCTAGTATTTCAAGTGGAAACGAGAACATGGGTTAAGTTTGTTAAGTATTGATGCTCCAAAACTAAAATTCGTAAAATTGCTTGAAAATTACGTCACCAACAACGCAAATCGTTAAAGTTCTCGCTTATAAAAAGTGATTTACAATATCAGAAGAAAACAAATCTTTTGATTTTCCTTCCCTTCCTCAAGAGTATTGTAAAACACTGGCTGCTTTACGAGACAATATATAAATCATCCTAACAGAGACAAAAAATGATAAATTGTCTCTAGTATGTCGATTTCACTATCGCAAAGCTTCGAAGTCTCAAACCCCTCAACTATGAGGTAAAAGGGTTTTCTGATATTTTACTCATCACTGTTCGTTACCTTCAACTTGTCATTCAGCCCCCCCCCCCCCCCTTTGTTTTAAGCCAGTTTATTATTATCGAAATTAAACAGTTGCTTGAAAAGAATTATGGAGATACCTAACGCAAATAAAGCTCAAAAGTCCATTGAAACAAAACAAATCGGGAGCAGAGCAAACACGGGCCTCTAAAACATTAGAGGTGGAATCAGGTGCCATGGAGAAGTGAGCATTCCCTGCCGACCGGTCACACCCCACACCCGCCGTGTGCTCATTATCATGATTGAGCAAACGGTAAAATCTGTAGACAATTCAGTGTTAAAATGATGACCTAACAATTAGTATGAAAAACGTCACCCAGTATTCGAATTGAAGATGACTTTTACTCAGAGGACAAAAAATTGCACTGATAAGAATGAAAAACCAACTCTGTACAGTGTAAACCCATAATTGTAGCATTTTTATTCATTTTCAATTAGCTAGGTCAATGACCCACTTTTCATGCTAGTGTCCCTGAGTATTTCTCGGAAATACCTCAATTTTTCATAACATTATGACCAATATTTTATTTATCAGCAAAATATAACAAGTATCAAAACTCTTTGGATAAACGAATATAAAATAAATGGAATAATTTTGCTAAATGGAAAAAAAAATCTATTAGGTTGATTTGAATATTGAGCAATTAATTATGAAATATATTTGTATTTCACTGTTCACTATATTCACCTAGTCATTTAATATGTTATTTTTCATGTTTCATAGTGTTTCTTGAAGCGAAGAGTAATTTTTTGTGGGATTTGAATGTTATTATAGTCCCTTTCAGGGTGTCTTATTATATATCTAGGAATACATATAATTATCATAAGCGAGATCTCCTAATAGTCTGCGAGACTAAAATAACATTATTCGTCTTTTGGCTATAGAGGAGAAAAGTTTTCTGCTAATGGAAAAAACTTCGTTTATCTTAAATTGAAGAATTAGACAATGGATATATTCTGATCAGCAAAAAGCACAAGTCCATAGTTAACGTAAGCTCCCAAATAAAAGCGTACATTGAATCGAGCTCTTGAAGCATTTAAGTTTTCCTGTTTTACATACTCTTATTTATTCTAGTCACTTGAAAGAATTTAATTTATGAAATAATTACTAATGAACTAATTACCTTATACACACGATCACTTTGCTTTCTGACTTTCAGTATTTTGTCATCACAGAGTGGAAAATTGATTATTGCCTTTTCTCCTCTACAAACGTCTACAGTAAAAATATCTCGACCGGATCGCACAGCTACAGCACAGTTACAGGTAACCCAGGGATGACAGGAGAAATGTTTCTCTTGTACCTAGAAATTGAGAGGCAAAACCAAGTCAAAAAATTACAGCACGATGGGATGCTTATTTGTATGATCCAGTTGTAGGAGATTCTATATTTAAGTATATTTGACGATCAAAATATACAAAATGAGGCCTTCTCTCTTCTTTATTTTGGAGAGAAATACCCAGTCAGCATGCATATATTGGCCCAACGTTGGTAACTAATTGGCTTGTTGGTTGTAAGTTGATATCGACATAACAAAGACGGCCCAATGTTGGGCAAATGTTTGAAAACGTACACTTATTGGTGATATTTGGATAACTGGCCTCATGTGGTTGGGCTAACTTTGGTCCAGTGTGTCTTATTATCATATATGTATAGTAATAAAGTTTAATTGGTCCTATACGGTTGGGTCAACGTTGGCCCAGTGCACAGTATTTTTACATTTATGGCGTAATTAAAAACAATGCACTTGCGCATATTACATTTACGTTGACCCTAAGAAGTCGAATAGTTTAAATGTTGGCCCATTGTTCTGCATTGTCAAAATAGTTATTAGTTTTGTATGGTGTGTCTACGTTGGCCTATTGTTCAGTGCATGATATTGCATTATGATTGGGTCAACTTTGGCCAATTCTTGAGTAAATGATGACATAAAAAATATATGTTCAATGTTGGTCCAGCATATATGATTGCGCCCATGACAAAAGGGCCTTATGGCAATTTTGTTAAAACAGAGAAATAACGTCATAAAGATATGACGTTGCAGACGGTGAGCGTCGACGCAGATTTTTTTATCCACGTGTTTATTTACGTTTTGACACGTCCAGCTCAAGTCTTGTTCTCAACATTGAAATAATTATTTATTTTCATTTATATCTTTAATTCAGGTCTTGATCTTCTAGTCCACTGATATTAATTAAAATACATGTATTTAGAATTTTATTCGAGACCCGTTTCTTTACTACATGTTATTGTAGCTTTATACGTCTCTGATCTGGGCTATGCATTTCCTATACACATACATGTATAGAAGCTTCAGACTAGGTGATTTTCTGGATAATTGAATATGGATGAACGAATGCGATTTTGATATATAGACAAATTGAAGTTATTTGTTAGACACGGGTATATTATCAAAATATTGCAGAGGAAGTCGTTTTCCTGTATAAGATCCGCCCCACCATTCTCAACACATCGATCATGTAAACATTGAAGCATTGGTACATCGTGCATAAATTTTTGTTGTAAAATGCTTTAATTGCCAAAAATTTGAAACTGATCACACTTCTTCCAACAGAAATGAAAAGTATTCTTGTAAGTTTTCACAAATCTAGCAAAAGTACGAACGAATGACAGACGTGATATTATTTTTAAGAACTATAAATAAAAACAAGAGAGGTAACTCTGACAAGCAAGATACTAGAGACGTACCAGAGAGGGATTTTCTTTTTTTTTTAACACCATTCAAAATCAGCATACTCATACAAATTTGCTTCCGTAGTATAAAAAATATTTTTCAAAAATCTTACTTATCATCAGTTAAAAAACGTTTTAATTGTAAGTATTATATTTATATTTTCTTCAAAAGTATTTTTGAAAGCTCATGGAACTAGCTGCTGTCAAAGTGAAAGAGAAAAAAATATATAGAATAAGAAATAGATGCTACATTGAACCAGACTTTCATTTTTTTTTTTAAATCTGTTACATGTGCTTCTATTTATTCTAACATGAAATTATTTTTTAAAATAACTTGAATTTTTAATTTTTTTCAGTAATAATGATCATAAATTTAAATAAAATAAAATGAAATTTAAAAAAAAAAATTGTTTCGTCTTATTTTTGTTGTTGCCACTTCCGATGTAAGTACTTGAAAACAAACAAAAACTACCGAATGAAATAGCATTGTTCTAATTGTTCTAGCTTAAAAAAAAGTTTACATGTATGTATACCTGATGTGTGAGAGAGAGAGAGAGAGAGAGAGATGTTACATTAAATCAAGTTTATTTACACAATGTGAAATGTGAAACTTTAATGAAAAGGCGAATTTTCAAAAACACAACAATATCGTATTATGAAAAGAAATCTCTATCTTTTTTTTCTTTTGCTGTCTGTTTATTTTCAGTAACTCGAAAATATAACATTTTGGTACTCGTGTTGTGCATAAAAAAAGTTCAAAGGTTTTAGCTTTATCTGCAGTTTTTAGTCACTTAAAAGTCAAATATATGTAATCCTTGTCATTCATAGAATGTCATTACAGTTCTATTATCAATATAAAACTCGTTTCTTATTGAAATAATAATCTCAGTTATCGGGTTAGTATGATATTGCTTAACTTGTCGTTGAATTATGTAAACGGGCTGATTTTGTTATTTCGATTTCTTGAAATAAATCTTGTTAAGATAAAATTGTATTTAAACATGCATTGTACAAATTAAATTAAATTCTAAAAATATACTGCACAAAAGACTATGTTTGCAAGTTTTTATTTTTGTGGTAGTGCAAGGAGACCGGGGTAGAGGACCAGGGTCATTTTATATTACCGGGACCTAACTACTTTACAGTGTATCTGTAAAGCTTTACAAGGATAAGCATATCCAAGTCTCTGGCATGGGGCCAGAATGGAATTTTTATATTGTAAAACTTCATATACAATAACATTTGAAAACAATAACATTAGAATTTCATACGATAAAGAAGCCGCGAGAAATGGGAGGGGGGAGGGGGGATTCTACACACACCATCACATAACAATATTTACATGTACCTAAATGTGTGCCACATCGTAAAAATTTGTCATTTAAAAACTCAGCCAGTCAAGGAATATTATGAACCAGTCGCATTTAACTGACTGGATATATAAAACTTTCAATTAATTTTTACACCCCCCCCCCCCCGCCGAAAAAATTCTATTAATTAATCTGCATGTCATTGATTCATAACGACAACATATATATAATTATGTTATATTTAAAGTACGAGTTTCCTACTGTATCGGAGATACAGGGCGGGGCTTAAGCCGAGAGCGGGCCCCGCCCTGTATCTCCGATACAGTAGGAAACGTGTATTCTAAATGACTTGTGACATGACCTTTCTTATGACCTCGCTAATTTACATGTGTATTTAGGTACATATCTCTCAACCAATCAGATGATTTTGCAGAAAGTTGATTTAGTACCCCATTTTAAGCAATCGCAACTGAAATGCCGAGAGAGGTCGACGTGCAGGTATCTATCAATTTGAATAATTATAATTATGAGATGCATTATATAATATGTTTTCGCAAAATTTAATTTATATTTGATTGCGTAGGTTTTTTCCTTTCTATTAAGCTGTTGCTGATTTTTTTTTTTTAAATCTAAGCTACGAATTTAGTGCAAAACATTTTGATACATAAGAATCATATATGGGAATGTATTTGAAGCAAAAATGTTCCGGGGAGGTTGTATTCTTGGCTCCAAATTGAAATAAACAGATGTAAGAAAGGGTGCATATTACCTTCATGTTTGAAACAAAGTATTGAGGAACCAAAGGCAGATCCAGCACTCACTCGCGCGCGTCGGTATCCCCTCCCCCTTTTGATTTTTTTCTTTTTGACTTTCGTAAATTATGTTTGCTTAACTTGTATACACTTTTAATTTATCAACACGAAACGATCACGCACATATAGTGTCAGGCCTGATTATGAACCCCCCCCCCCCCCCCCCACGAAACCCCCGATTTTGCAGTTTGGACATTTTCTTTTTTTTGGAAGAAAACCATTTTGTGTACTGCCCCCACTCCCTCCTTTCTAAAATTTTTGAATCCTCCACTGGCAACTTTAGGTTGTAAAATTCTATTCTTACTTCATTTCAAATTTGGAAATACTAACAGCGTATCATGCGATTTGATTGATTCTTATTTATATTATTTAATATACGGATTCAGTTTTCCGTCATCACTAAAAATATCGTTGATATTTTGCAGATACAGTACAGTTTCTGCTCATTTGCATAAGAAATGCCCACTAAAAGTGTTCTGTATCGCAGTTATTGTACGGCTGACTTCAAAGGAAAACTCGCCGGGTCATGTCACAATTATGATTTATTTCTTAGAAAAATCTATTTGATATTAATTTTTAAAAAATGACATATTGATTTCATTCAAAGTTCGGATAAAATTTGTTGAAATGACAATAAAATACCCGATATCTATTAATACCCAGTGTATACATGTTCTTCTAAAACCATTTAATTTTACAAAATCAAACAAAATCGTTATACTAGGACGCAATTTTTCTCATGATTAACTAGATTTGATAGCAGTTAAGTTTCCAGTTCCAGGCATGTGGAGCTCATGATCGCTGTTTGTTTTGAAAATTACCCTGCTCATATACATGTACGTAAGGAGAGAGTTCAGGGTGCAAAAATAAATTGAGGAATTATTTCAATATTATTTCAAACCTAACCAAATGACGTATTTTGAGGTTATGGGGTTGGTGGTGGGAAGGCATCCCCCCTGCACACCTAAAATGTAGGAAGATTTTAACAACCCTCGTATGCTATTAAACTCATGTTAACTACAAGTACTGCAGGTTTCTCAAACGATTATTACACGAGATAAATACTTTGGTTTTGAGAGAATAAATTGATATTGAACAGAAGCCGCTTGCTTCTCGGGTTTTCCTGACATTCCAGTATAGTGAATTGTAAAACAATCAAACGAACAAACACTCATAATTCTATACACCACTGCATGATGGATAATAGTTAATACAACTATTTATTATTACATTATACAATTATTAAAAGAGACAATGACTCAAAAATGTTTCTGGAAATGCTCAATAACATACATTTATTACCGTAGTAACATTACAATGCAAAGTGAAAGTCATGTTCACTCTGAAAACTTTTGACGTTGGTGCGAAAGTAACATGACGTCATTGTTTACCTGTTAAAGTATCATTGATATAAATGAAGAAAAAACCTACTTAGAGTTGACTTAGGGCCATAAAAATTCAGATTTGGCAACTTCTAACCTTGCTCTATTAATATCCATGTAAAACTTAAAATGTGTAAAAATTGCCATAAGGGCCCTTTTCCCATGGGCGCAATCATATGTCAATGTTGCTTTACAATTATTGGGACAAAGTTCGTGGACTATATTCTGTCCTTCGTTTTATAAAAACTAGATGAAATCCCGCGCAAGCGCGGGGAACTGAATTTATACCACTACCGACAGAAAAAATCCAATTATATATATATATATTGTGTATACATTTATACATATACATAATATACATAGTTTTTACTGACAGCCTACAGGCTTATAGCAGGAAGAAATACTTTGTTCAAAATCCAGCATGAAGTAGAAGTACGTCTCCACCCCCACCTTTGTAAAACTTAAATAATTTCATTAATTGACGTTTATTGTGAAACCTGTTATATACTATGTTACATGTATGGATATTGTATATATTGTGTTATGGATATTGTACTTCAGATGCTCTTATTTCATTTCCGTCAAGAAATGCACATTTTGCTGAGAAATTGATTTTTTTTTTTTTTGTAAAAATTCACAGGTACTTGGGTCTTGGTTTATAAATATGTATGTACCTTATTGATATGTAAAAACTGTACCTTACCTCATTTTTTTTTTTTTTTTTTTTTTACATATCAATAAGGTACATACATATCTATAATCCAAGACCCAAGTACCTGTGTAAAAATTAGCTTTTATATAACGCCCTATGAGTACACTGGCGGATTTAGAGGGGGCAGACCCCCTCCCGTTTTGTGTCCAAAATATACATAAAATTTAATAAATCATCAAACTGCCCCCCCCCCCTTTCAAGATTCCTGGATCCGCCACTGGAATAGGCCGAGTATTTGACACAAAAGACTATATTCAGAAAAAACTGAAATGTATTGATTAAAGCACAAAATTTAACAGCATAATTGTATTTGAACAATGCCTTATTCATTAATTTTCTCTTTTCATGTAAGCAAGTTTATTACAAAGTACAAATTGTACTTCGGGTTCGTTGCCACGATGCTCTCAGTGAGGAATATATACAAATTTTACCGATAAATTTATCAGGAAAACCTACTAAATATAAGTAATAATCTTTCGATATATAAATATATTCACAACTTACAGTGTTATCAATGATTTACCATGATTTCAATGACCATTCACACAAAAGCTTTTTTTTTTTTTGTTAAAGCAGCTATTTTCTTTTTAACATCGGGCTCGATGCTACATGATGTTCTAGAAGCTTCCGTCAATATTACGATCGGTGAATGACGGAAATAATTTGCACATTTTCCTTTTTAATCGGTTATCACAACTTATTTCTTTTATATCATTTAAATCAAGTTTTGATTGAATTATACAGTAATGACGTTTAATGAAATAAATAAACGATTGTATGTTGTCAGTTTCATTAAAAATAGCCAGTAACTTAGATCCGCCAACCGGAAATGCCACCGTACTCACGTTTTTGCTATTTCATGGCTGTTTATAGAAAATAAAAGTAGACTTTTAATTTAATGTACGATACTTACAATGCAAGTGAAATCTAAATATAGTTTACGGACATCATCTTGTATCGTGTGTATTCTTAGAAGAGTAAGTAAGAATTCTGGTGCAGGAGTTTCGGACTTTATTTGCAAAATGTATTAATTTATAAGTATAGATAAACACAAAATTATATTTCTTATCGGCGCGCGACAACAACTTTACAAGTCTTTTTTAATTTTTTCCATTTTCAGTTCATCCATAAATCTTTTAAATTTCTTGCATGCTTCTTAATTTTCATGTTTTATAATTACAAGTATCTTAAACTGTGCGTTGCAATAGAGGGCCCGGCCTTTTTTTTTTTTTTTTTTTTTATTGTTTTTTAATTGATTTTTAACTAACTTATCGCTGTGCGTAGATATTATATTTCAATGGATTCAAGAGTAAGTGACGTGATTCTCTGCTCATTTCTGCTTTCTCTGTTGAAATGTTGAAAAGGTTGATGACTTAATAAAATGTCAACACCAGACGTTGGATTCTTTGAGATACAGATAAAAAACACAAAAATCTTTATAAAGATCGAAAAGTTGCATGGAATACTTTGTATTTTGAAGTCAAAAGAAACACAGTTGCTAGATTGAAGTAAGCATGTGGAAGATCATCAAACCTCGATCAAATTGACACTAAACGAAAAGAAATTAATATGGAACTGAAGTATAAAACAGTTCAGATAATTTTGATAAAGGTTCTAGCAAAAGTTGATAGTGTGGATAAAATTGTTAAACAAATAGAAATAATAAATTTCTGGATTCACCGGAAATATGGAACGTAAAGTTACGTCAAAAAAGTGCGGCGAGAGTCGAAATGTAATCTTATGTTTATGTAAATATTTTCAAAAGTATACGATACATCTCAATAAAAGTTTTAGACGGCAGTCAAGATAAATGAAGATTTACGAATATGAGTATTAAAATATGATTTTTTTTTTTTTAATTCATAAAACGTTTTAGAACAGTTTTGACCCTGCACTTGTATTGTGTGGTTCATGCGTCAAGACTTAAATCAAGTTTTAAATAATACATTTGATTTTTCATGAATTTTAGCGTAAAACCTGGTGCAAGGACAGAAACTCTATACATAGCAGATATATCATATTAAAAGTATGGTGGGCGTTTTGCACTATTTACAAGCGAAATTTATATCATTACATATAACTAACCTGGAGGATAATACAGGAATTTTGAAATACAATTCACATTTGCAGACAGGCAGTGAGTTACAAAAATGTAAACATAAGCATTGAATAAGTTTTTTTGAAAGATGTAGTTTTATAGTTGCAAAGGTGTGATGTGTGCAAACAAATTCCCGCAATGCGCGTTACTCAGTTTCTTTACACACACCAATGCAGTTCTGTGACTACCTCTTTCAAAAAATAAAAGTTCAATGCTTAATTGCAAACATAGAATATTTGTCAGTACACTAAACGTTTAAGTTTTCTGTATTGAAACATACCTCTTTGTTGTAAAGTTCGTTTCTGTATAAAATGAAGGTCCCGAGTAGCTGGCAAGAATACCATCTACGGAAAACAAATAATATTGTATATAGTAGAATGTAATAAAAGTGATCAGGGAAATTTATCAAATTTTCAATAACATTAATTAATTATTCAAAATCAAAGATATTGAAGTATGGAATAAAACTATTTATATAACTCAAATTTAAAAAAAATTGGAAAGACAGACCACAAGAGATTGTTATCAGTAAGTTGAAAATGGCCATTGACTATGTTGTCAAGTTCCATTTCTAACCTTTTCAAATAAGAAGGTAAAATATAATTCAATTCTTAATTGGATTTGTGGCCTAATTTGTTTTTGATGCTAATTTTACATGTGTTTATAGAAAGAGGTTTATTATGTATTTTTTGTACATTTGTTGCATAATCTCTCTAGTCATTTGGCCCCCTATCTTGTGCATAATAGGAGGTTATGATTCCATTCTGCATCACATGTATTATTACTATATTAACATGTTTATGAATGACCCCCTGTTTTGTATATATCTCTTCGTCATTTACTAAATAAATGACATTATTTATTCTTATACAAGTTTCTTATTTCGCCTGCCTTAAGCAAAAAAATGGACTCAGTCTCCTTGACAAGGTTATCCAAGCAAAGGAACATAAATTATTTAATGGAATCCATCTGCATTCTTTATGTAAGATTCTTTGAAATTACCTTGTTTTTTATCCCACGTTTTCGTTTTTTAACTTTCAAAAGTTAAGTACTCAATCTATTGGTCTGTCTATCTCTAATATCTCGTATTCTCTTTTACTTGTACTCTATACAAAAAGAGGCCTGCTTCAAGCAAAGAGTTAAAGCTATGTACCATCATATTTGGTACTATGTTTTAAACAAAAATAAAGTTTCGGCTCAAGATAAATACAAAATTTTATCAGATAAGAAATACGTCTTTTGCATATGAAACTCATATTGTTGGGTACTTGTGAAGGCTGTAATAGAGTACATGTCAAGAAACAAATTCGATGTCGATGTCGACGATATCGACAATATTATATTGATATCGTATCGATATCGATCCTGATCAGTTAAATCAGTTAAATGGAAATACTTGATGCCATACATGAGACTTGGTGCTATGTCTTGATTCGATATCGCTACGATATCGTCGATATTGATGATATCGATGTAGGGCCAACATATTAATCAGAAAGTACATATGCACAAGTATTACATTAAAAAACAGGAGTTATTGTATAGTGCTAGGTTAAAAGTGAAGTTTTGACATAGGGTGAAAGTTGATAATAAAAGCATTATGTTTTTAACAATCATGATTTGATATCGATACGATATCGTCGATATCGACAATATCGATGGCAAGTACAATCTTTGTAAAGATAAAGTATTTAAACATAGACACACATACAAAGTAACAGGGATGGTACTTACTAAGGGTTGAGAAAACATGATTCGATATAGAAGCGATATCGTCGATATCGACGATATCAACACTATCGACAATATCGGCACTACAGGGAAAGCTTTGTAAGTAGTTTACAAGTAACTCAATATTTAGGGTGGAAACCATAATCCTTTGAACAATCATGATTCAATATCGTTAAACAGAAAGTATTCTAATACACACACAAGAATAGAGAAATATTATAGCAAACTATAACAAGAGACCCATGGGTCATATCGCTCTCCTAAGCACAATGGCAAGGAAGAGGCAGAAATCAGTTTAGTATTAAATTTTTTTTAAAAAGGGGGGAGGGGGGACTTAAATTTACACTACCTTAGGATGCTTCTATATCAATATTACTAATCATGGATTTGCTGTTCAATTTTAAAGATTTTTTCCCCTATGTATTCCTATGTAAAACTCTGATTACTCATTGTGGTCCCACCCTAGCAACCGTAAATTTGAACAAATTTGAATCTACATTACCTGAGGATGCTTCTTTAATAATAAGACTAATCATGGCTTTGCTGTTCTTGAGCAGAAGGTTTTTCAAGATGATTCTATATTCTTATGCAAAACTTTGACCCTCTTTGTGCACCTATACTCCGGGGCCATAAGTTGAACAAACTATATTCTACAATACCTAAGGTTGCTTCTGTATAAAAATGACTAAAAATGGGTTAGATGTTCTTGAGAAGAAGATTTCAAAGATATTTCCTACGTAACGTATATGATCAGGTTTTTACAAGGGATATATAGGTTTTCCTTTTACTCAGTGCAGGTTATTGATAGAAATGATTATTAAGACTTCTCTGAATGAGGATAAATCACACAGAACTAAACTTTTTCTCTTATCTAGAGATGAGGACTGGGTATGGTACTACTTGCACCGTGTTTCTCCCCTAGGTTCTCATTGATAGATAAGAACCAGTTGTCTTATTTCCTTCAGATTTACTACATCCTGAACATCAATTCCCTAGGATATTTATAATTTTTATACTTTTATTTTGCTTTTACCTTAAGGTTTTTCCATCCTCTATCCTTAAATGTCCATCACATACATAATACTCTGATATAAATTTAAAGCATTTTACAGTAGAAAAGGATTTACCAAGGAAATAGAATTACAATTTAAAAAAGATTTTTTTTAACAGATAAGTTTTTTTTTAAATTGATATTTTTATTTAATAAAAACAGATATAGATATTTCTGACCAAAATTCAAGGTCAAAGATTAGGACACACCCCACCCTTACATGCTAATTGTACATGTAATAAATGGGAATTATGTCTAAATATACTGAGTATTCAACACCTACAGTGGACATTTTCACAAAAAATCTTACAACATATTTCTATCTTAAGTGAAAACTTATGATAAAAATCGTTTTCACAAAAAGTCGTAAGATATTCGTAAGTGCAAAATCTGTCGTAACTTTACGAGATCCCCAACCCTCTCCTAAGTATTTTAAAACCGATTTTATTATAAAAATATAACCGCAAAAAACAAAATACACGTTAAATTGAACTTTTCAAAGCAACTTCCAATAATATTATATATTTTTTTTACAATCATTGTCGAAAAATTAAATGAAATACACTACAAAATATTTACGATGTAATTTTCACTTAAGATTTTCGTATGATCTTCTTCTACGTCAGACTTGTGATTGTGACGTCAGATTTTAAACTTCCTTGCTTCACAAACGATTGCATTCGATATTTGTTTTCAATAATGTTTGTTATGCTGACAAATGTTGAAAACTAAGTTTTATTTTTATTTTCACCCACTTATTTAAGGATTATAAAGAAAATTGAAGTCGTTGCTAGGGATGAAATCTGTCGTAAGTAAAATCTTAAGTTCAATCTGCTACGAATGCGTTCGTGAAACGCACTTAAGATTTGTCGTAAGAAATTCTTAAGTTAAAATCCTATGCAAAAACTTATGATTTTTTGTGAAAAAGGCTACAGATCTGTGGATCTTTTCACAGAAAATCTTACGACATATTTTTATCTTAAGTGAAAACGTATGATAAAAATCGTTTTCACAAAAATTCTTAAGAAATTCTTAAGTGCAAAATCGGTCGTAACTTTACGAGAGCCCCAATCCTCTCCTAAGTATTTTAAAACAGATTTAATTGTAAAAATATAACCACCAAAACCAAAATACACATTAAATTGAACTTTTTTAAGCAACTTCCATTAATATTTTATATTTTTATCACAATCAATGTCGAAAAATTAAATGAAATACACTACAAAATATTTACGATTGAAGTTTCACTTAAGATTTTCGTATGACCTACTTTTACGTCAGACTTGTGATTGTGACGTCAGATTTTAAACTTCCCTGCTTCACAAACGATTGCATTCGATATTATTTGTTATGCTGACATAAGTTGAAAACTAAGTTATAAATTTTTATTTTCACCCATTGATTTAAGGATAATAAAGCATATTGAAGTCGTTGCTAGGGATGAAGTCTGTCGTAAGTAAAATCTTAAGTTCAATCTGCTACGAATGCGTTCGTGAAACGCACTTAAGATTTGTCGTAAGAGATTCTTAAGTTAAAATCCTATGCAAAAACTTAAGATTTTTTGTGAAAAGGGCTACTGTTATGTATTCAATTTCATTGAATTTTTTGATATTAGGATAGAATGCCTTAGCTTAATTTCTTCATTGCTGATTTATCATCCAATTTCTTCAGCTACCTTCTGAATGCCTGACTTTCTCAAAGCTTTGCCTTATACCTGTATACCCTAGGGTAGTCCATTCCACGAATTTTCAGGTCATTCCACTCTTTAAGGTCTTCAATGCGTGTTACTCGAATGCCCTTTAAGCATTACAACGATATATTCCTATGTAAACCTTGACCCACTGTTGTGGCCCCGCCCTACCCCCAGGATCATGATTTGAACAAAATTGAATCTATACTACTTGAGAATACTTCTGTATTAATACGTCTAATAATGGCTTAGCTGTTCTTGAGAAGAAGATTTTTAAAGATATTTCCTATATATTCCTATGGTAAAGTTTGACCCCCTGTTGTGACTCTGTCCTACTCCCAGGGGGTAATGACTAGAACAAACTTGAATCTACACTACCTGAGAATACCTCTATTATTTTATAAAAGCAGTTTTAAAAATGCTGAATTTTTGACAGAAATTTCAAATATTAGATGTGACCACAGTCAAGAAAAACTTTTATTCTTAACTACAATATGAAACATATTGCCAACACAAATCCCCATACTTATTATAATCGTTGTTCGTGCGTGTGGCCAATGTGAAATTTGACTGCAAATATACCTGTTCGATTTTGAAGTTGTCCTTTTAGATGTATGGCGGATGGGTCAATTATAGATTTATGACGCAAGATTGCGCAATTGATAAGATGATGTTTGAGCATGCGCCATCGTAGCAAGATATAATTATAAAAAATCTTTTTCACAAATCATTGGTCTTATTATTTTGTTGTTTTTTACCATTGTTTAAGATCATTGAAAAATTATTGGTCGTTAACACTGATTGACTGCCCTCCCTTAATAAAGCATTTCATTTTTCCTAATCTATCACTTCACTATGGATAGCCG